AGTTCTTGTGCTGATTCTTTCTCATTGGAGAAGGCTGGTGTTTCTTTATCTTTTTGAAGGTGCTGTCATCTGGATAGGGCTTTTTGTTTAGATATTCTATTTTTCCCATGAGGGTTTGAGTGTGGTGTATGTTGTGTGCAGTTGATGGACTTTTTTTCTGGGTGCCTCCATGGGGCCAGAGCTCTGTACTCGTTTCTTAGTTGTGGCTAATTTTCTGTCTTGTGTTTCACAGGCGATGTGTGTTGAAGGAATTTATTTTTGTGTGGTGGTGTAATTCAGGCTGTGATCCAGTCAATGGTGTTTAAGAGTAAGGACCAGCAGACAGGTCTTACTCAGCTATGTGCTTTTTTTTGTTTTATTTCAGTGTGTTTGCTGCAGTGCTCTGGGGAAGGGGAGTTGGGGGGATGAGAAATGGTTCTCTCACCAAGTTTATTCCTGGGCCTTGGCCAAGTTTATTTCTGGGCCTTGGCTCCAAGGCCCAGGAGGGCTGTACTTCCCCCTTAGGGGCGGTCCAAGCTAAAGGTTAGGTCACCGGGAGACCTGGAAACTTCCTGGGGACCTGTTGGTTCTCTGTGCTTGGCAGAATCAGGATGGGTTGTAGGGTATGTCTGTGGGTCATCTCTTGGTGCACTGGGTCAGGGTGGAGGATTCCCTGGGCAGGGTGGTGGTGCTGTGGGTGGGCAGCTGGTTGGTACCTGTGGCCTGGGGTTTTTTACCCAGCAGACTGTTGTGGACCATGTAGCTCATTCTCCCCCAACTGGATCACCCACCACTGTCTGCCCCTGGGGTAGGCCTGACCAGCTAGTTTTACCCTTAGCCTTTTGTGCCCGGATCATTGGGCTATTAGGTGTTCTGGGCCATGGGGCTCCCTTGGGCAGAGGCTGCAGCTGACCTACACCCTACCTGGATGGGTCTTGTGAGGGATACATGCCAAGCTCCTGCACCAGCGCATGAGCCCATGCCTTCCTCTTCTCAGTGTCTGAGAGTGGGGGCTCCTTTACTGCTTGAGCTCAGGCTACAGATCCCAGCTCAATACCCCTGAGCAGTGTACACAAACCCTGGGCAATTGGGACTAGGACCGTGGCTTTGTTCTCTAGTCCCTCTAGGTTGAGCACTGGCTGTGCTGGGGGCTGAACTGCTCCCAGGCCACCAGCCAAACCTTCAGACAGGGCAGTGGAGACCATACTCTTGGCGGGAGCAGTGAGGCAGGGGCCCTGGGAGGGGCTGGTGTACAGAGCGGCATGTAGATCAGATGCACCTCGGTCCTGCGGAAAAGGCCCTGCTCTCTCCCAGGCTGGCGGTCCTCAGGGGCTACAGTCATTCAGAGCAAGACTGAGAGCCTCGGGGGATAGGTGCCTATGGTTGTGTATCACTGCAGCTGCCCCACGAGCAAAACCTGGACTCCACAGAGGTTCCAACTCTGCCTCTGCCTGCTCTTCAGACATTCCCTCTGCCATTTCAAATGTCTGTGGGGGTCGCTGGGTTCTCCTGTAGCTGGGATCCCAGGGGCCTGCGACAGGAGAATGGTGCCTCACAGTTCCTCCCTTAGGTCCTGTTCAGGACTAGGATCTGGTCCTAGCACTCGACAATCCCGTGCAGGCTTCCCAGCTTCCTCCATCTTCAGCCTCAATGTCTGCGTTGCCTCTCTATCCAGTTTCAGTATTTTCTCTCAGAAGATCAATCCAAGGTGTGATGGTTTACTTGGTAGACTGGTTTCTCTCAGTGGGAGAAATGTTTCCCGGCTGCACCTAGTTGGCTGTCTTGTCCTGCCCCCGATAATGCACTTTTTAATGTTGATTTTGTATCCTGCAATTTTATGAAATTCGTTTATTAGTTCTAACAGGTTTTTGGTGGTGTCTTTAGGGCTTTCTATATGTAAGATCATGTCATTTACAAACAGACAATTTTTCTTCTTCCCAAGCCTGGTTCTTAAACGGATCCTATTTTTTCCTGTTTCTTTTTATTTCTTCCCAAACCTCTTCTGTTCACATAATAAATTCTGAAGATTTTTAAAGTTAGGATCTACAAGTTAACAAATATCTTGACTCAAATTGGCCTCAATAAAGAGAATATGTTCACCCTGAGGTTGGTGGTTCCTCTCATGGCCATAAGATGACTGCTGGCAGCAGCTGGGAGACGAGGCCTTGTTTAGAACCACAGGGTGAGGAAGGCTGGCTGGTTTTGCACAGAAGCTCCAGGAAAACTGTCCTTGCATGTCATCGGTGCAAACTGGCTTAGTCCTGACCATCCATGAGCCAGTGACCAGAGAGGCAGAGACATGACCACAACTGGTTTGGGGGAGTCATCTGAGGCAGAGGGGATTTGCAGAGCCAACCAGAGTGTCCTCTCTCTTTAAGCCAAATGCTCTGACATAGGTTCTTTAATCACCTTACCACTTAGGTTTGTGTTTATTCTGAATCTTAACCAAGAAACTGATATGTTCCCCAGTGTAGAGATCCTCATTCCTTTTATTTTGAGGTGGAGTCTTGCTCTTGTCGCCCAGGCTGGAGTATAATGGCACGATCTTGGCTCACTGCAACCTCCACCTCCCGGGTTCAAGCGGTTCTCCTGCCTTAGCCTCCCAAGTAGCTGGGACTGTAGGTCTGTGCCACCACACCTGGCTAATTTTTTTTTTTTTTGAGATGGAGTCTTACTCTGTCTCCCAGGCTGGAATACAGTGGCACAATCTCGGCTCCCTGCAACCTCCGCCTCCTGGGTTCCAGTGATTCTCCTGCCTCAGCCTCCTGAGTAGCTGGGATTACAGGCATGCATCACCATGCTTGGCTAATTTTTGTATTTTTAGTAGAGATGGGGTTTCACCGTGCTGGCCAGGCTGGTCTCGAACTTCTGACCTCGTGATCTGCCTTGGCCTCCCAAAGTGCTGGGATTACAGGAATGAGCTATCACACCCAGCCAAATTTTTATATTTTTAGTAGAGACAGGGTTTTGCTATGTTGGCCAGGCTGGTCTTGAACTCGACCTCAGGTGATCCGCCCATCTTGGCCTCCCAAAGTGCTGGACTTACAGGCGTGAGCCACCATACCCGGTCTCTGATTCCTTTTTTTTGAGACGAAGTCTCACTCTGTCCAGGGTGGTGTGGAGTTGCATAATCTCAGCTCACTGCACCCTCCACCTCCTGGATTCAAGCAATTCTCCTGCCTTACCCTTCCTAGTAGCTGGGATTACAGGCATGCACCACCAGGCCTGGCCAAGATCCTCACTCCTTTCAATCTTCCCAGTAAGAAGTCCACTACACAGTTGGGTCTGAAATAAGGAAAAGTTCCTTGCAACTCACTACCACGGTGAGGCCTCCTTCAGTGGGGAGATATGATTTCAGCGGAAGAGGAGGGAAGATGGGGATTGAGATAAACTGCACCTACAGGAGGCCTGCCAAGGTTCACCTGGATGGAATTCCAAAGAAAAGAAAGACAAACAGGCTGGGCGTGGTGGCTCATGCCTTAATCCCAGCACTTTGGGAGACTGAGGCGGGCAGATCACGAGGTTAGGAGATCCAGACCATCCTGGCTAACGCAGTGAAACCTCGTCTCTACTAAAAATACAAAAAAAAAAAAAAAAAAAAAAAAAAAAAAAGCCGGGCATGGTGGCGGGTGCCTGTAGTCTCAGCTGTTTGGAAGGTTGAGGCAGGAGAATGGTGTGAACCCGGGAGGCGGAGGTTGCAGCGAGCCGAGATCCTGCCACTGCACTTCAGCCTGGGTGACAGAGTGAGACTCTGTCTCAAAACAAAAACAAAACAAAACAAAACAAACAAAAAAAGAAAGACAAACAGAAGTTGAGACTGTTAGCTTTGAAGTATCTAACAGTTCCTGGTTCTAATAGCCCAAAGGTCAAAGGAAGAATGTTTCTCAAGGTGAGGTCTCCTGATCACTCTATTGGAGTCAGTCGGGTTGCACAAACACTGAGACACTTGGTCTGTTAAAAGAAAAACTTAAGCTGAATTAAATTTAAAGGAGTTATTTTATTTATTTATTTGAGATGGAGTCCTACTCTGTCGCTCAGGCTGGAGTATAGTGTGGTGCAAACTCAGCTCACTGCAACCTCCGCCTCTTGGGTTCAAGCGATTCTCCTCCCTCAGCCTCCCAAGTAGCTGGGATTACAGGTGTGCACCACTGCACCTGGCTAATTTTTGTATTTTTAGTAGAGACAGGGTTTCACCATGTTGGCCAGGCTGGTCTTGAATTCCTGACCTCAAGTGATCCACCCACCTCAGCCTCCCAAAGTGCTGTGCCTGGCCTGGAATGATTTTTTTTTTAAAGACTCCAGGAAGGCCAGGTGCGGTGGCTCCTGCCTGTAATCTCAGCACTTTGGGAGGCCAAGGTGGATGGATCACCCGAGGTTAGGAGTTTGAGACCAGCCGCCAACATGACGAAACCCCATCTCTACTAAAAATACAAAACTTAGCTGGGCTGGTGGCACGCGCCGGTAGTCCCAGCTACTCAGGGGCTGAGGCAGAAGAATTGTTTAAACCCAGAAGGCAGAGGTTGCAGTGAGCTGAGATCATGCCAGTGTACTCCAGCCAGGGTGACGGAGTGAGACCTTGGTCTCAAAAAAAAAACAAAAAAAAGACTGGGAGATGGGAACTCAGTTATGGTGTGTTATTAGCAGCTAGGGTACGACATTGCAATGCAGGTCTTTCTATTGACTAGGGCATGGGGTATAGAATCAAAGGGTTATTTCTGAACCACAATAGTTCTAATCCTCCCAACAACCATCCGAGGAACACCAAAGTGCTTTGTTCTTGCCAAGGGAGTCAGAGAAGTCAGCACATTTGGGCCACTCTCTTGCTCAGGTTAACTTGCCCCATAATGGTTGGGAGCAAAAGAGAGCAGCACTCTGGAGAGATGGCTCTGCTCAGAGGGAGCACATCCTGCCTCAGTGAAACGTGTGACACACAAGTGACAAGTCAGAGCCAGAGCGAGAGGGTGGGGGCAGGAGGGAGAGGGAGAGGGAGGGAGAAGGGAGAGAGAGGGAGAGACCCACGCATGTGCAGGACCTGCGTGTGCCTGTCCACCGGTGAAGATGTCCTCCATTGGGGTGCTAGGATGTATGCCCAATTTGTGTGGAGAGAAATGCAAACCAGGGTGGGGGGTGCAGGAGAAGAAGGACAGAAGCCTCGTTGACCCACATTTTTTATTACTTGGGCACAGAACCCTTATGTCCTGAGATTCTTCTTAAACAGTCAGCTGGGTGCAGTGGCTCACACCTGTAATCCCAGCACTTTGGGAGGCTGAGGTGGGCAGATTGCCTGAGGTCAGGAGTTCGAGACCAGTCTGGCCAACATGGTGAAACCCCATCTCTACTAAAAATATAAAAAAATTAGCGGGCGTGGTAGCGGGTGCCTGTAATCCTAGCTACTTAGGAGACTTAGGCAGGGGAATTGCTTGAACCAGGGAGGTGGAGGTTGCAGTGAGCCGAGATCATGCCACTGCACTCCAGCCTGGGCAACAGAGCGAGACTCCATCTCAAAAACAAAACAAAACAAAACCAAAAAACAAACCAAAAAACAGTCAGAAATCAGATTCAGTGGAACATGCTTTGGAAAGCATCGTTCTGGAGCACGGTCCCCCTGGGGCCCCTGAATCCTCCCCCCCTTTTGGGCTCTGCTCACCTCAAACCCTGGATTCCAGCATCCCTGGGGTTCCCAGCTGCCTCCCTGTCTCTGCTCCACAGTTCTGCTCAGAGTTCTGGTCCCTGGTTTTAGTTCATGTCCCACTTTCATTCTCTCTTTGCTCCAATTTATCTTTAACTTTGTACTGATACATTTTCAAAAGTATTTTAAAAAGTCACTTCAAATCTTTGTTGAATAATATCAGAGTATGAGTAAAAAAAATCACTGTGTACACACAAAAATGTAGCTGGATCTTCATCTCACCCCTTAAGACCTAGATAATCTTGGTTCTCATCCCCTTGGCCCATCCCATGAGAAACCTTTCTGAGCTCCACTGCCTGGACCTCTCTAGGTCATTGATTTTGCTGGGTACATTTTCTACTTCCCCATGACTGCAGGTGAGTGTTTCACAGAACTTTTACCACTACATAACAAGGGTCTCCTTCCTCCAGATTGCACTAGTGTTTCTTCCGCTTTCCCATACACTGCACTGACATCTTCTGGAACACCTTTAGGTTTCCATCCACTGCTCTGTCCCACAGCCAAATGCCCCATGTTTTATGTTTTTGTTATAACTGGCTACTTCAAAATCTGTTCTAGTTATACTACCGTGAAATAAAAAACTACCCTACAGCAGTGATTTAAAACAATAAGTCTTATTTTATTTTGTGATACACCTGCAGTTTGGGCAGAGCTCAGTGGAGATGGTGTGTGTCTGCTCTAGATGGGTATCTCCTGGCAGCTTGACCAGGGCTGCAGCATCAACTACCAATATGGCGCACTATATGGCCGGCTGGCTGGGGCCCTCCTGTGGTTTAAGGCCTGGTCCTAAAATCAGCACAGCATTGCTTCTGCCATATTCAAACATTCTGTTGGTCAAGCAGTCACAGATCCCAGATTAAAGGAAAGGGGACATAGACTCCACCTCTCAATGGGAGGAGTGTCAAATTCCGGGGGTATTTTTTTTAAAGCCTCATATCTGTACTCTCTTTAAAAGGTTGGCTATTTTATCAACTTGACTCCTGCCTCTGGCCCCAGTGGTCCAGAGATTTCTCTTTTTCCTCCCAGGCTGTTTTTTAGAAACTCTAAGGGCATTCCCCCAACTTTATGATGTAGAGCATTTCAGCTTCCTCCAACCTATATCCAAATGCTTGGGGTCTAACTTGTCCAGTCAAGGTCACAGTGTGCCCCGCCAACTCATAGGCCTGAGAGAGGCTTGGAAGTTTCTTTCTGTCTTTCCGTTTTGTTTTTTTTTTCCCCCCATGGCCATGTCTGCAAGGGGAGGAGGCAAACATAGAGGTTTATTTCTCTCTAACATAACTATGTTACTTCACCTAGAAATAACTTCAGTCAACTTTGGTCAAATAGACTTTTCCGCCCTCTTTCCTTTGCATAAACACATGGTTCCCTGACTTCCATGGACTCCTCGGAGTTGGCCTCCTGTTCCTCCTCCTTGGGCTGCACCCTCTTCTGGTCCTCCAGACATGATTCTGTAAGTCCTTCTTAATTCCCTGCTACCGTATTTTCACAAGAGTTGAGAAACTCCAAGTATCTGTGGCCTGGTTTTCACAAATACAGAGGCATTCATAAATATTAATACTTCCACTTCCCTTTTCTACTTTCTGGGTGAGACAGTTCAGACTTTTTGTTCTGGTCCCTGGGAGCCATGTTGGAAAGCCCGAATTGGGCCTGAAAGTGCATAGATGCTGGCAGATGGTGCATCAGCCCCCATGGGGCACTGCAGCCTAGAAAGTAGCAGGAACAGGAAGGCAGCAGGTGAACAGAAGATATGCGTCTTTTTCTCCCTTCCTTTGTCATCTTTCTCCATGTGGGTTTTTATATGTATTTACTTGTACTCAGTTTTATTCCAAAACTTCTTTGAACTGGGTCATAAAACCAACTGCATATTGTAAAGTAGAAGAAACTAAACTCTGAGAAATCAGGTAAAAAGTGGCAAGTGATAGCTGGTGATGGAATGCTACCTATCGTAACTTACCCTTTTGCAAATGTTACCTAGGTGAGACAAAGACATTTGAACCCTGACGTTTCTTTTATTGGTTTTGCTTTGTTTTTCTTGGTATAGACCTGGGAGTGTAATTGCCTGGTCATAGGGTGGCTTTAGTAGACACTGCCAGTTTTCCAACGTGGGTGTACTAATTTTCACTCCACTAGCAATGTATGAGTGTTTCAAATAGCATATTCCTCTCAACATTTGATGCTAGGTTTTTTTTTGTTTTGTTCTTTTTTTTTTTTTTTTTAATCTTAGTCATTTTGGTGAATAGATAGTTATATCTTGGCATAGTGGTATCTCATTGAGCTTTTACTTTGCTTTTCCCTGAAAAACAATGCTTTTGAGCACTTTTTGATATGTTTATTGGTCATTCGAGTATTTTGTTATGAAATGCCTGTTATTTTGCCCATTTTTTAAAAAAATTGGGGATTTTTGTGTTCTTCTAATTACTAGACATTCTTTCTACATGTTCTACATAGAAGTCTTCTGTTAGATATGTGTTGTGAATATCTTCACATATTCTGTGGCTTTTTTTCACTCTCTTAATAGTGTCTTTTGATGAAAAAAAGTTCTTAATTTTAAGTAAGTCTAATTTGTCAGTGGTTTCGTTCATAGTTAGTGTTTTGGGATCTTTTGCGAGAAATCTTTGCCTACCTTGAGCCAAGAAGATATTATACTACCTGCTCTAGAAGCTTTACTATTTTATCTTTCACGTTTAGGTCTATGATTCATTTGAAATAAAGTTTTGTGCATGGTATGAGGTAGGGTGTTCAATTGCTTCAACACCATTTCATGAAGAGACCATCCTTTTCCCCGCTGAAATGTGGCAGTGTCTTTGTTGTAAATTTGGTGACCTTATGTGTGTGTTTCTCTTTCTTGTAGTCTCTGTTGATTTATATGCTTGTCTTTATGCCCATATCATGTTGTCTTAGTTATTGTAACTTTATATGAAGTTAAAACATTGTGATTCTTTTTCAAGACTCTTTTGGTCTTTTGCATTTTCATTTATATTTTAAAATCAGTTTGTCTGTTTCCACAAACAATTCCACTTGAATTTTATTAAAATTATATTGAATCTGTGAATCAGTTGGGGAGAATTTACATATTAATATTTAGTCTTCAATCCACAGATATACCTTTCCATTTATTTTGGCTTTCTTTAATTTCTCTCAGCAAAAGTTCTATGATTTTCAGTGTAGTGTTCTTGAACATCTTTTGTTAGATTTACCTTTATTGTTAGTGGTTTTGATGCTTCTGAAAAGGATATTGTTTTTCTATTGTTATTTAAACTTGTAATTTGCTAGTATACAAAAACACAATTTATTTTTGCATATTAACCTTGAATCCAGATACTTTACTGAAATTACTAATTAATTCTAATAGTTTATTCATTCCTTTAGATTTTCCAAGTATATAGTCATCTGCAAAATATGGTAGTTATATTTCCTCCCTTTTGGGTTTATTCTTTTTATTTCTTTTTCTCACCTTATTGCATTGTCTAGGATTTCTAGTAAGTGTTAAATGGAAATGGTGACAGTAGACATTTTTGTCTGGTTCTCAAATTGAGTGGGAAAGTATTTAGTATTTCACATTTAAGTATAGTGTTAGTCATAGGGTTTTGTTTGTTTATATACTTCATTATATTAAAAAAGTTACTTTCTATTCTTAGTTTTTTGTGAGTTAAAAATCATGAACAGGTATTTTATTATATTTTCACTTTTTCTGGATCTATTGAAATTATCATTTTTTTTCCCTTTATTTTGTCAATCTGGTGATATTTAGTTCCTGATTCTTTTTTTTTTTTTTTTTTGAGACAGAGTCTTGCTCTGTTGCCCAGGCTGGAGTGCAATGGCACAATCTTGGCTCACCACAACCTCTGCCTCGCAGGTTCAAGCGATTCTCCTGCCTCAGCCTCCTGAGTATCTGGGATTACAGGTATATACCACCATGCCATGCCCGGCTAATTTTTGTATTTTTAGTAGAGATGGGGTTTCATCATATTGGCCAGGCTGGTCTCGAGCTCCTGACCTCATGATCTGTCTGCCTCAGCCTCCCAAAGTGCTGGGATTATAGGCGTGAGCCACGGTGCCCGGCCTCCTGATTTTTTTTAATGGTATGTTTTACAAATTTGTGTGTCATCCTAGTGCAGGGGCCATGCTAATCTCTGTATTATTCTGATTTTAGTGTATGTGCTGCCGAAGGAAGCACCATTTCCTGATTTTTAAATGTTAAAAAATTCTTGCATTCCTGGAATAAGTCCCACTTAGTCATGATGTATTATTCTTTTTAACTATTGCTGGATTTGACTTGCTAATGTTTTGTTGCTGTTTTCCCATCTCTGTCCATGGGAGATAGTAACCTGTGCTTTTCATTTTTGTAATGTCTTTGTCAGGTTGTGTATCAGAATTATGCTATCCTTCTCTAGTGAGTTAGAGTGTGTTCCTTTTTTCTTTATTCACTGGAAGAGTTTGTGTAAGATTGGTTATATTCTATCTTAAATGTATGTTTTGAAGAACTTGCAAGTGAAGTCATCTGGGTCTGGAATGTTTTGGCTGGGAAAGGCATCTTGAAATCTTGATGTTTATTTTCTCATTGTACTTTTTTTCCTTAGGATGTTTGCAGCGGTCCAGAAGAAGGAGATTTCCTTTGAGATCTTTGTCAATCACTTCAAGGAAAATAAGGTGGAGATAGCAAATGCAATAACAAAGCCATTTCCTTTTCTTGAAAGCCTCAGAGACAATTCTTTTATCACTGAAAAGATGTATGCTGTAAGTGAAGTTTATTCCATCACCCACTGTGGTCTGGCCCCCACATTCATTTATATTTGGCATCCTGGATTCAAAGTTTAGTATATTGCTAACTGCCTGAAAGGCCTTTTATGCCTTTTGTGGGAAGGCCCTTTTCTGCTGGTTAATTATTGTATAAGGTAGAAGGTAATGGGGTAAACAGATGTCATTAAAGACATTTCTATTTCTTTTTCTTTTGTTTTCTTTTCTTTTTGTTTTGTTTTGTTTTGTTTAGAGACAGCATCTCACTCTGTGGCCCAGGATGGAGTAAAGTAGCAAAATTATGGCTCACTGCAGCCTAGATCTCCTGGGCACAAGCAAACCTCTTGCTTCAGCCTGCTGGGTAGCTGGGAGATTACAGGTGCATGCCACCACACCTGGCTAATTTTTTTTTTTTTGGTAGAGATGGGGTCTTGCTGTGTTACTCAGGCTGGTCTCGAACTCCTGGCCTCAAGTGAACCTCCTAACTCAGCCTCCCAAAGTGTTGAGATTACAGGTGTGAGCCACCTTTCCTGGACAAGGCACTCTATTTCTAACTGAAGCCCCCCCGCCTTTTTTTTTTGAGATGGCGTGTTGCTCTGTCACCCAGGCTGGAGTGCAGTGGCACAATCTCAGCTCTCTGCAGCCTCCACCTCCTGGGTTTAAGCAATTCTCCTGTCTCAGCCTCCCGAGTAGCTGGGACTACAGGCGCCCACCACCATGCCTGGCTAATTTTTGTATTTTCAGTAGAGACGGGGTTTCACCATATTGATCAGGCTGGTCTCGAACTCCTGACCTCAAGTGATCCACCCACCTTGGCCTCCCAAAGTGCTGGGATTACAGGCGTAAGCCACTGTGCCCGGCTGCCCTGTTCTTTTATAGCAAGTATTGGGGTGGGAGTGGACGGTAATGGTGACATGGATGGAGTGAAACTGATATGCTCTGCAAATATGTAGTGATTTATGCAACATACAAGAATAAAACAAAATTAAGATAACTAAGACAATGGAAGCAGTATTTCTTTGTCATGTCTACGTGTGTCAGATGAAACCCCCAGAGATTTTGTGCATTATAATTGTTATCAAACAAATTTCTGCCTTGCTGTTGTCTCGTCTAAAGTGTTTAAATTTTGTTGGGTAGTTCTGGAGCCTTGGAATTCAGGTATTTTGAACAGTGCCCTGGAGGTACAGAGAAGGAAGCCATGTCTTCAGTGTGCGATTTTGCTCTTCCTGTTGTGTTCTTCTTGGCAAGGGAAGAACCATCTCCCTGTCTCCCGGAGCCTGTTCAGGACTTCTCATACCACAGGGGAAGGTGGGGAGTGTGGGGGCAGTGATTACTGTGTAGTCAACAAAATCACCGTAAGATTTATTCCCAAGGCATCCTGGGCAGGATGAAAACTCAAAAGTCAAGAGGAAGGGTTGACTTGTTTTTCTAACACAGTGGATCAAATATTTAAGAAGTTCTAGAATATTACATGAAAAATAGTAACCTACACTGAGAACAATGGAAGTATTCTATGCAATTACATTGTCGATCTTTGTTTAACTTTAAAGCTATTATTTTGTTTACTTTTTCCATTGACTTTTTTAACAGGATTCTCAAGAAGCTTGTATAAACTTGATTCCTGTACAGAGAGTTGTGTACCACGTTCTCTGCCACCTGGAGAAGGTGTTTGATTGTTCAGTTCTGTCAGTCCTGTTCAGCAGGGTTAACTTGAAGGAGTATCCTGATTTAATTGAGATTCATAAAAGCTTCAAAAAGGGTAATCAATTCTTTCTCCTGTCTTTTGGGGTCTAGGTCTGCTTTTCTTTCTTTCATTTGGTCAGTCATTCATTGAACAAGTATTCATGAAATGCTCACATGCGGCCGCGGCGGTGGCTCACGCCTGTAATCCCAGCATTTTGGGAGGCCGAGGCAGGTGGATCACCTGAGGTCAGGAGTTCGAGACCAGCCTGACCAACATGGAGAAACCCCATCTCTACTAAAAATACAAAATTAGCCAGGCGTGGTGGCACATGCCTGTATAAATCCCAGTTACTCAGGAGGCTGAGACAGGAGAATTGCTTGAACCTGGAAGGTGGAGTTTGCAGTGAGCTGAGATCACGCCATTGCACTCCAGCCTGGGCAACAAAGAGTGAGACTCTGTCTAATAAATAAATAAATAAATAAATAAATAAATAACAAAAAAAATAAAGAAATGCTTACATGTCCCAGGCCCTGTGATAGGCGGTGTGAATATAACTAACCTATGCCCTGGCCTCCCTTTGTTGGCAGACTCCGGGGTCCTTGGTCCAGGCGTTTCAGGACATTTCCCAGTGTGGCAATATTTGCTCCCTGCTTGTAGCCTTCACAGAGTCCTCCCTTTGTTCCTTGGGTCTGGGTCACCCCTGAGGAACTCTGTCTAGTTCCTCCACCATGTCCTCTCTTTGGGAACCACTCATCTTTCCAGACCCAATTTAGCCAAAACTCTGCTGTTTTCTAGCCCCACATTTAAGGCTGTTGGGCTTCTCTTACCTACAGGCATCTCTCTAGGATCTTAGCTCTTCTCCTCAGGAAACCCCTTTGTTTCTTCCGGAAGATTTGCACAGGTCACGAGACATTCCACTTACGGAATTTGTATGAGATACGCTTTCGCTCCTCTCTGATCATCTTGTTGGATGATTAATTATGGTTTACAATTTTTCTACTGCTCCGTCATCCTTAAAACCTGAGAGGCTCATCACCTATAGGATTTCAGTGGTTATGTGTTGTGTTATTTTCTTTCGTGGCTGCCTCAGAGGAAGAAATAAGCAACACCAAGTCACAAGTCACTGAGATTCAGAGTGACTGAAGGCCTAGGAGTTTCCCACTGAATTGTAAGAACACACGGGTGCTGTATTCATGTGGTCACGAGTTGGGGTTCCTGGTCACTTGCTTGCAGACTCTAATTAATTCTTTTCTTTGTTCAGCGCTCCCCTTTTCCCAGAAAAGGGACGGAAAAAAGACACCCAAAATGCCCAGCTTTCAGCCAAGCTGTAAACAAGGTAATAATGTCTGGATGAAAACTTTGTTTTCTGGTCTACTAAGAAGAAGAGGAGACAGGAAACTGAGGTCTGAGGGAAGACTACACTGCTGGGGATGGTGGCAGAGCTGGTTGAGGGTCACTTTGTGTTGATTCCAAAGTGACCTGACTCCAGTTGGAATCCAAGAGCACTCTCAAGAGGTGGCAAAAACAGACTTTCTCCCCAATAACCTGGAGGGTAGAGTGAGGATCTGAGTGTGAATGACTAGTTTATAGGAGACTTTCAGTGAGAAGCCCTGAAGGGCTAAGAAGGATGTGCCTATGGCCACCAACGTCAAAGAAGATACTCTTGGTGATGCCAGAAGAAGGGGCCGATTTAAACGGGGGCATGTTGTTCAGCAGCAGGAATATTCAAAGAAAAAGGCAGTCACACAGAAAGACACAGAGAGGAAGTGATGCATGTGCTGAGAAGAGGATGAGGGTATTTTGAGAGAGAGAGTAAGAAGGAGGGGAATTGAAAGACGTTGAAGGTCAACAATAAAAATAACCGTGTTATGAACAGCTCACTGTGATTGAATGCCTGCTCTGTGGCAGCTCTGGGTTTAGTGTTCATGGATGCCTTTGGAGAGTAGTATTATTTATGTGCCCATTTTGCAGATTAGGAAACCGAAACCCAGAGGGACAATGTATGGGGTTGCCTAGATCAGGTGAGAAAAGATGAACCCAGAGCCTTTGTTATTTTTTGGGAGGGAAGGAGGTAAAATTCAGATGTTAACCATTTTAAAGTGTGGAATTCAGTGACATTTAGTATATTCACAATGTTGTACAACCATCACCTGTCTGTAGTTTCAAAATGGTTTAATCATCCCAAATGGAAACCCTATGCCCATTAACCAATCATCTAATTTCCCTCTGCCCCTAATCTCCGGCAATCAGTAATCTACTTTCCGCCTCTACAAATTTGCCTATTCCGGACAGTTCATGTAAATGGAATCACACAATACGTGGCCTTCTGTGTCTGGGCTTCCTTCACTTAATATGATGTTTCCAGGTTTTTTCCACGTGGTAACATGAATTATTATCTCAAGTCCTTTTGATGGCTGAGTAATATTCCATCATGTCTCTACCGCATTTTGTTTATTCATTCATCAGTTAATGATGGGCTGTTTCTGTCTTTCTGCTACTGTGACAGAAGTTACATTCTTCCTGTTACCCAGGGAATCTAATGGAAAAGACAGAAACATGAAACAAAAGTGGGGAAACACATGCAGAAAAAAAGGTCCAGGGAAAAAAGAATACAAAGAGCTGGAGGGAGTGGAGGTGACCCAAACTCTGAGTCCTCATGGAAAGGCCAATGAGAAAGCATGAACAGATGTGGAGAGGGAGGGTGTGGTGTAAAAGGAGGTGGGCATGAGGCAACCAGGACTTCGCAGGAAATGAGCTAAGGGCCCTGGGCAGGGTAGCTGTGGGGACAAAGGCAGGTTCACTCTGCCATCGCCAGTTACCAGAATGTCTCATGGAGGATACTCAGCGGGGTTGTCTGGCCAAGACCCTCTCAGCCAAGGGTGCAGTGACCCAGTCCCCCACTCTCAGGGCTGGAGTCTGACTTCGAGAATCAGGTGGGGCTGGGCACAGTGGCTTACGCCTATAATCCTAGCACTTTGGGAGGCTGAGGTGGGCAGATCGCTTGAGGCCAGGAGTTCGAGACTAGCCTGGCTGACATGGCGAAAACCCATCTCTACACAAAAAAAAAAAAAAAAAAAAAAAAAAATTAGCCAGGCATGGTGGCACATGCCTGAAGTCCCAGCTACTTGGGAGGCTGAGGCATGAGAATTGCTTGAACCCAGGAGGTGGACGTTGCAGTGAGCTGAGATTGCGCCACTTCACTCCACCCTGGGCGACAGAGTGAGATTCTGTCTCAAAAAAAAAAAAAAAAAAAAAAAGGATCAGGCGGCCAGCTCCAGATGGTGAAAACTCTCTCTCTCTCTATTTTTTAAAGGCAGAGCCTCCCTCTGTTGCCCAGGCTGGAGTGCAGCAGCACAGTCATAACTCACTGCAGCCTTGAACTCCTGGCCTGAAGCGATCCTCTCATCTCAGTCTCCCAGTAGCTGAGCCCATAGGCAGGTACCACCACGCCCAGCTAATTTTTAATTTTTTGTAGAGATAGGGTCTCACTATATTGCCCAGGCTGGTCTGAACTCCTGGGCTCAAGTGATCCTCCTGCCTCAGCCTCCCAAAGTGCTGGGATTACAGGTGTGAGCCACTGCACCTGGCTGTGAAGACCCTTTTCAAAGCCCGACCTGGTCACGCTCAGATTCCTCATCTCCTGTTGGTCTGTTCCTCTTGATTGTGCTGTGATCCTCTGCTGTTCTTGCCCCATTCTGGAATGTGCTGGGGGTAAGGGAAGAGAGGGTTGCCTCTGTTTATGATTGTCCCGAATTTTTAGTGTTTGCATCTACATTGTCTCCAAGTTCAGGATTTCAATAACAAGTCCTTATCCTCCAGGTTGCCTGGGAGGACTTCTTCCTCCTACACCCCTTAAGCACACTCGCTGCTGGTTCCTGCTGGTGCTGAGCCTGCTCATTTTACCCATGTGTCTGCTTCACTGTTTTTCTGCCTGCATCTGCTTGAATCTGGCTGCTGCCTTGGTACTTTGAGCTTACATCCAGTGATGGCCCGTGCTGTGGTGGCTGGAGGGAAATGATGGGCATGTTCCTTCTGTGGGACAGGCTATCTTCCCTGTTGGGTCTTTCACATAGGACCACGGCACCACTGTGCCTCCCATACAAACCCTCATCCATCATCCCTGGGGCATGCAGCTAGGAGCTACCTTTCAGATACCAGATGGGCCTTTTCAAAAACCCTTTAGTACTTTTGTGCTATAACTAGCCTCTGTTTCTAGATTCTTGGTCTTCTTCTTTTTTCTATTTTTCCTAATATCCCTCATCCTTAGACCATAATGTCCATAACAAATTTTATTTCTTTGTTCAGTATTTCATGATCACTTTTTCTGAAATGAATGACATAGAAGAAATATTAGCGAACTCTCAGAGCTGTGGAAGGTCATTCTGATGTCATTGATAATTGGGATACATGACAAAAAGGATATTTGATTAATTAATGCATTTAAATAAAAACTTTAGGTTTTGATTTATGACATCACAGTGCCATATTTATGAAATCGTAATATCATCTAGGGGTCATCCATTCTGGAACCAGAACAGAAACCTCTGAGCCTGTCCGGGATGTGAAGTCAACATATATAAAGCCAGAACATTCTATCCTTGGCCCAGGTGATGCTCTTGGAACACAGCAAGCAAACACAAGTACCCAAGTAGGTAAGGCTGATGACGGCCAGGTGTTTGCATGGGTGACTAGTGGTAGATGTCTGTAGCACACACAGAAGGGGGAAGGCAGTGCTGTGTCAAATGATCATTATCTACAGGGAGACCCCAAGGAGTCCTGAATGACAGTAGAAGGATAGACCAGTGTCCACTGCAGGCAGACATTGACGTAACGGAAAGGTATGTCTTCTAGTTGAAGTGAGGAACGCAGAAAAAGACACGGAGAGACAGAGAGAACAGGACTGGGGCCTGATATGTAGCTTGGAAGAGATGTAGAAGAAGAGAGTTGGGAAAGGAAAACGGAGAATGAGGAATGCGTCCTCCTGCAGCATTGCTGGAGGAGAGAGACAGATGCACCGGGAGACAAGAGAGAAGCTGGCTAAGTCCACGATGCAGAGATGCCTTCCTAGGGCAGAAGCCTGGGGACTGGATCCTGGTGGGAGGCTGAGTAGGAGAGAGAGAACAAGGTCTGACAAGATGGGAAGAGGTAGAGCAGGACTTGGCTGGACAGCAGGGGTCCTCGGAGAGGGGCATCACCTCCCTAGGAGCAGTTCACTTCCGCTCCCAACTGCAGTGCTCAGTGTGGTCATATCTCAGTCCTTTTCCCGGCCACTGGATCTGGTCTCTCATTTTATATTCTCTCTTCAGAAACCAGGGAACTCAAGGATCTCCAAATAAAAAAGGAGAGAGGGTCAGAAGAGATGCCCAGTGGACGGCCACATGGTAGACAAGGTACTGCAATTGAATCCTGCCTTTTAAGTGACCAATTACCTGATTAGCTCAGGGTGTGGAGGGAGGAAGGGCTTTTCTTCCCACCTCCCTCTCTGACAGGAGCCCAACCTCCAGCCGCTTTCAAATTTGTGAGGGAAGCAAGCAGGATGAGGCATGTGATGTGCCTAGGCTGCAACACTGTGAGAGGCACTCACTGGCAGGACCCCTAGAGTATGCGCCCTAAGTCTTCCAGGCAGGAGAGAAAGGAGAGCTGAACGCCTCCCTGGAGCATGGCATCCTGGGTGGAGAAGCTGAGGAGCGTGAATATGGAAGAGGTGGACGATTGGGCCACAGAATAGCAAGTTTTAGGAGTGAGCCCAGTTTTACCTAAGTGGACATGATGTCTAAGCTTTCCTAGGTTGGTGGAGGATCGACAAGGAAATAATTTTGTCCTGCTTGCTGGAAGTTGCCACAAGATCAGGCAAACAAGGTGTGCGACCATCAGATTTGCAAGGAAGAAAGGTCATTGGAGACAACCTTCAGAATGGGGAGGGTGAGGGAAAAGGCCCTGGGGGTAGAGTTAAAGCCAAAAAAGGAATGAAGGGACATGACTTTTTGAGACAAGAACAAGACATAGGAAGAAAATGCTTGGAGGGGTCGAGGCAGACAGAGGATCAAGGGAAGCCCCGGAAACACAGAGACAGAGGGGAGGAAGTGAGAGACATGGCAGAGGAGAGATAAACTGAAAACTCAAATGAGGGACAGTGAGAAAAATCATATGGAGAGAGAAACATGAGGTCAATGTAAATACCAGGAACAGAGAAAGCGGGGGAGAGGCACGAAGAAGCCAGGAAGAGAGTGAATGTAAAGAGCAAATAAGAAATTGGTGGAGATCAGTGTGGCAGTGAGAGAGGAGACACATTCTTCCATGAAACCACATCCTCCTCCTTTTCCCCTTCCTCCTCCTCTTCCAGAACTCCCTTTTTGGTAAAGTGGCCATTACTGTCAAGTTTTCTCAAGCAAGAAATTCAGGAATCTTGCCAGGTACAGTGGCTCACACCTGTAATCCCAGCACTTTGGGAGGCCGAGGTGGGCGGATCACCTGAGGTTGTGAGTTCGAGACCAGCCTGACCAACATGGAGAAACCCTGTCTCTACTAAAAATACAAAAACTAGCTGGGCGTGGTGGTGCATGCCTGTAATCCCAGCTACTTGGGCGGCTGAGGCAGGAGAATTGCTTGAACATGGGAGGCAGAGGTTGCGGTAAGGCGAGATAGAGCCATTGAACTCCAGCCTGGGCAATAAGAGCTAAACTCTGTCTCAAAAACAACAATAACAACAAAAAAAACCAGAAAGGAATCCTCCTGAGTTCTTCCCTCCCTCAACCCCCATGCCCTATCAGCCATCCAGCCCCGTGCACTGTACCTGGTAACATTTGCCACCTGATCATTTTTCTCTATCCCTAATGCTGTGATGCTAATGAGATCTCTGATAACTCTCTCATGAACTTCAGCTGCCACATCATACCAAAGTTCGGGTGTGTTTGTGCTGTCTTCCTACCTAACCTTCAATGACTGGCATGACACCTGCGTTGAAGTTGATCTCTTTACTAGACTTTCAAAGCTGGGCAATGAGGACCCTTCCTATTTCTCCAGCCTCTATTCTCTCACTCCAAGAAGTCACGTTGGCTTCTTATAGTTATTCAAATTACTTTGCCCATGCTCTGTCTTCTATCAGGGTCTGTTTTCTTGGCCTCTATCCTTCTCATCTCCTCCCTAATCTGGCTACCTCCTGCTCACGTGATATTTCTTCCCATAAGCCTCTTCCTGTTTCCTGGACTGGCCTGTCTGTTCCAGAGCACTTCTTGCTTGCTGTGAGATAAAACTCCTGCCTTGTTGTGATCGTGTGCTTAGCACGTGCTCTCTCTGGACCACAGCTGCTTGTTCTCACTGTGTCCTTCGAACCTAGCATGACAGTGTCTGGCACATAATAAAGAGCATACTTCATATTGTCAGGAAATGAAAGTATTCGTATTTTTGTGCTCTAAAAACTAGACACATATTTTGGCAAACTATGACATCACTGATGTATTTGTATGGAAAGCATCACAAAAATAGTTCTAAGAATTGTATGTATTTATTTATTTATATTTATTTGTTTTTGAGACGGAGTCTTGCTCTGTCATCCAGGCTGGAGGGCGAAGGCAGTGGTGCGATCTCAGCTTACTGCAACCTCTGCCTCCTGGGCTCAAGCAATTCTACTGCCTCAGCCTCCTGAGTAGCTGAGATTACAGGCATGCACCCCCACACCTGGTAAGTTTTTGTATTTTTAGTAGAGATGGAGTTTTGCCACGTTGGCCAGGCTGGTCTCAAACTCCCTACCATGGGTGATCTGCCTGCCTTGGCCTCCCAAAGTGCTGGGATAACAGGTGTGCACTACCGCACCTAGCCTAAGAATTATATTTATATGTACATGTACATGTAATAAGCTACTTTTGTGGAAATAAGTATAAGAATTAAGTTAAGAACTTAAGGTCTTTATTTATTTATTTATTTATTTTTATTTATTTTTATTTTTTTGAGAGGGAGTCTCACCCTGTCGCCCAGGCTGGAGTGCAGTGGCGCGATCTCGGCTCAATGCAAGCTCCGCCTCCCAGGTTCATGCCATTCTCCTGCCTCAGCCTCCCAAGTAGCTGGGACTACAGGTGCCCACCACCATGCCTGGCTAATTTGTTGTATTTTTACTAGAGACGGGGTTTCACCCTGTTAGCCAGGATGGTCTCGATCTCCTGACTTCATGATCCGCCTGCCTCGGCCTCCCAAAGTGCTGGGATTACAGGCGTGAGCCACCGTGCCTGGCCCTTAAGGTCTTTATTAATGATTAAGTTAATTAAGTGAAGAACACAAAATTCAGCCAAGACATTTATCAGTTAGTAAATAAGAATGACAGGTAAAGGGAAAAGAGAAAAACAAAATAGAGTTCAAGGTAAAAAGATAAACACAGAGAGAAAAACAGAAAGTAAGAAATGTATCTGCAGTGAGGCAGTATGGAAGAAGGTGAAATTTAGTGCTAGAGTGATCCTCTGAAGTCAACTGGGGAGAAAGAGAGGAAGAGGGGTACCATAAGGCTTTTTTGAGGGAAAAAGATGGAAATTCTTCAAAGATCACTATTTGTTCTAGGGGCAAAGCTATCTAGATCCCAAAATTGGGTGCAACCTAGTTTTGTGCTCCTGGAAGACATCCAGATGGCAAGGAAGGCGTGTAACCAAGCCCCTGAAATAATCTGTAAGGCTGGTGGAGGGTATAATAATCAGTAAGGTTGATGTGGTGACACTGTGTGAGTCACAGCAGAGGTGACAGGCTGGGTGTGTGGTCAGAGTCCCACATGGTGGCCCAGGGAGCTCGGATGAATGCTGGGAGACGTGGATTCTGGTGCTTAGTTCAGGGAGCTTCTGCATGACAGAGGAAAGTCAGTGGGGAAATGGAAAAGTACAGAGAGACCTGGGAGTGGGAGAAGTGGCTCAGAGGAGACGTGGAGGGTAGGTATGTAGAGCAAGAAAGCCAGGGGAGAGTGATAGAGGTGCAAGGAAGTAAAAGAGGCAGAAACAGAAAATGCCAGAGTGAGGACAAACAGATTGAGAAACAAAGAGGGAGAAGCTGCAAGAAAGAAGCAGGAGTGGAGAAATGGACAGAGACAATGGGAAGGGGAAGGAGAGAGAGGGGGTAAGGAAATGGAGAGCAAGACACTCAAAGCTGGCCACTGTGGCCATTTGTCCCGAGCCTCAGGGTCTAGTTTCAGTGACTGGAGCACCAGGACCCTGCATCTCAGCATTCCGCAGGAGCACTGTAACTGTGCTGGGTAGGGACATTCCTACCTGCAAGTCACACAAGCTCCCGGGTCTTTCCTGGTGTCCCTAATTGTGTGTTTCCTGCTGTGTTGGCTCCTGGGTCCCACACTGAGACCCTAAGGGATTTTGTTCCTTTGTGCAGTGATCAGCAGTGAAGACTCTGATTCCTGTGAGGGCGAAGAGACCCTGGAAGCCTCCAGCTCAGCATCAATGCCCAGGCCTGGTGAGAAGGACAAGGACCATTTGTGCGGGGCTCCAGGACCTCAGACGTCTGAGTTCAGAGCATCTGCTTCCTGATGCGTTTCAACTGGAGTACACTCTGTAGATCCAGTTATCTCTTTTTCTGCTCTCACCTCACCTGGCACTTTGGGAAATGGGGGAGGCAATCTTCATTGACTATGGGTGCTCTGGTATTGACATTAGGTTAGAAAGAAGCCAGGATATTTTGTTGTTTTTCCCTTTCACATTAATCTGGTTTGAATTTGTGTCCCCACTCAGGTCTCATGTGGAATTGTAATCCCCAGGGTTGGAGGAGGGGCCTGGTGGGAGGTGATTGACTCATGGTGGTTGACTCCCCTCTTGCTGTTCTTGTGATGGTGAGTGAGTGCTCATGAAATCTGGTTGTTTAAAAGTGTGTGGCACTTCCCCCTTCACACCCTGTCTCCTGCTCCATCATGTGAAGATGTGCCTGCTTCCCCTTCACCTTCTGCCATGATTGTAAATTCCCAGAGGCCTCCCCGGCCATGCTTCCTGTATAGCCTATGGAACTATGAGTTAGTCAAACCTCTTTTCTTCATAAATTACCTAGTCTCAGGTAGTTCTTTATAGCAATGTGAGAACAGACTAATACAGAAAATTGGTACTGGGAGAGGGGCATTGCTATAAAGATACCTGAAAATGTGGAAGCAGCTTTGGAACTGGGTAATGGGCAGAGGTTGGAACAGTTTGGAGAGCTTAAAAGAAGACAGGAAGATGAGGGAAAGTTTGGAACATGCTAGAGACTTGTTAAATTGTTGTGACCAAAATGCTGATTGTGATATGGACAGTGAAGTCCAGGCTGAAGTGGTCTCAGACGGAGATGAGGAACTTATTAGGAAATGGAGTAAAGGTCACTCTTGCTATGCTTTACCAAAGAGACTGGTGGCATTGTGCCCCTATTCTAGGAATCCGTGGAACTTTGAACTTGAGAGAGGTGATTTAAGGCATCTGGCGGAAGAAATTTCTAAGCAGCAAAGCATTCAACATGTGACCTGGCTGCTTCTAACAGCATATGGCCATATGTGTGAGCAAAAAGATGATCTGAAATGGGAACTTATATTTAAAAGGGAAGCAGAGCATAAAAGTTCGGAAATTTTGCAGCCTGACCACGTGGTAGAAAATAAAAACCCATTTTCTGCAGAGGATTTCAAGTTGGCTGCAGAAATTTGCGTAAGTAAAGAGGAGCCAAATGTTGATAGCTGAGATAATAGGGAAAATGCCTTGAAGGCATTTCAGAGACCTTTGCGGCAGCCCCTCCCATCTCAGGCCTAGAGGCCCAAGAGGGAAGAATGGTTCTGTGGGCCAAGTCCAGGGCCCCACTGCTCTTTACAGCCTTGGGACATGGCATCCTGCATTGCCACTGCACAGTTCCAGCTGTGGCTAAAATGGGCCAAGGTACTGTTCAGGGCGTTGCTTCAGGGGGTACAAGCCCCAAGCCTTGGCAGCTTCCATGTGATATTAAGCCTGCGGGTATACAGAGTGCAAAAGTTGAGCCTTGGGTGCCTCCACCTAGATCTCAGAGGATGTATGGAAAATCTGGATGTCCAGGCAGAAGTCTGCTTCAGGGGGCAAAGCCATTATGTAAAACCTCTGCTAGGGCAGTGCAGAGGGGAATATGGGGTTGGAGCCCCCACAAAGATTTCCCACTGGAGCACTGCCTAGTGGAGCTGTGAGAAGAAGGCCACCATCCTCCAGACCCCAGAATGGTAGATCCACTGACAGTTTGCACCGTGCACATGGAGAAACCGCAGGCACCCAACATCAGCCTATGAAAGCAGCTGAGGGTGTTGTACTCTGCAGAGCCACAGGGGTGGAGATGTCCAAGGCCTTAGGAGCCTACCCCTTGTATCAGTGTGGCCTGGATGTGAGATATAGAGTCAAAGGAAATTATAGGTTTGAGATTGAATGACTTTCCTGCTGGGTTTCAGACTTGCACGGGGTCATAGTCCCTTGTTTTCACCAATTTCTCCCATGTGGAATGGGTGCATTTACCCAATGTGTGTACCCCCATTGTATCTTGAAAACGACTAACTTGTTTTTGATTTTACAGGTTCATAGGCTGAAGGATCTTACCTTGTCTCATGAGACTTTTGATTATGGACTTTTGTGTTAATGCTGAAATGAGTTAAGACGGGGGGTCTGTTGACTGTTGAGAAGGGATAATTTTATTTTGCAATGTGAGAAGGACATGAGATTTGGGAGGGGCCAGGGGAGGAATCATGTGGTTTGGATTTGTGTCCCTGCCCAAATCTCATATTGAATTGTAATCCCCCACGCTGGAGGAGATGCTTGGAGGAAGGTGATTGGATCATGGGGGAGGACATCCCTCTTGGTGTTCTCTTGATAATGAGTGAGTTCTCATGAGATTTGGTTTTTCAAAAGTGTGTAGCACTTCCCCCTTCACTCTTTCTCTCCTGCTTCACCATGGTAAAATGTACTTGCTTTCCTTTTGCCATCTTCCATGATTGTAAGTTTCCTGAGGCTTCTTGGCTGTGCCTCCTTTAGAGCCTGTGGAACTGTGAGTCAATTAGACCTCTTTTCTTCATAAATTACCCAGTCTCAGGTAGTCCTTTATAGCAATGCGAGAACAGACTAATACACACGTGATCAGCCCTACTGTGGTATACTTTAAAAAATACATAGTTGATCTTTGTTCCCAGTTCCTGGCACAAAGTCCCTAAACTCTTGGAAATTCCAAAATGATGGGTGTTTTATAAGTACCAACCACGTGACTGGAAGATTAGAATTTTCAACCCCAAACCTTGACGTCTGGGGAGAAGAGAAGGGCAGAAGATTGAGGTCAATTGCCAGTGGCAAGTGATTTAATCAATCTTGCCAACATAATGAAACCTTGATAAAAACCCCTGAACGACAGGGTTCAGGGAGCTTCTGAATTGGTGAATGCATTTATGTGTTGGGAGGTAGGGTTGAGGCTCACCTGGAGAGGTCATGAAAGCTCTGTCCCTCCTTCCCCACCTTGCCCTATATTTGGTTCTTCCTGAGGTTTTATTTTTTTCCATGCAACAAAACCTTTATTAACATTTTGAGCAGGTTTAACTGTTTACTGAAACTGGTAATTTCCAAACTTAAGTTGGGGCAAATGGCTATAGTGCAGAGTAGTGCCATCATTGGGCACTGCGAATGCACGAGTGAAGAATTAATGTGGATCACTTGAAGTCAGGAGTTTGAGGCCAGCCTAGCCAACATGGTGAAACCCCATCTCTACCAAAAACAAAATACAAAAATTAGCCAGCTGTGGTGGTGCACGCCTGTAATCCCAGCTACTCAGGAGGCTGGGGATGCCTTCTTTATCCTGGATCTTGGCCTTCACATTTTTCATGGTGTCCCTGGGCTCCACCTCCAGGGTGATTGTCTTGCTGATCAAGGTCGTCATGAAGATTTTCATTTTGACCTGTGAATGGATATGAGGATGCTGCAAATTGCCAATCACAACCAGCCACCAGAATGCCTCCACACGCTCACTCAACAAAGCCAGTCATCCCTCAGTTGTGTTCTTTATAATAAAACTAATCATAAGTAGAATACTTTCTGAGTTCTGTGAATCATTCTAAGGAATTACCCAACCTGAGGGAAGTCCTGTGAACCCCCAAAGTTGTAGTCTTCTCCACAGAAATGTGGGTGGCCTGGTCACCCCATTCATGGCTGTTATCTACAGTAGGGCAGTCTTGTGGGACTGACATCTTAGCCTGTGGGGTCAATGCCAGCTCTGGCTAGTGCCAGAGTTGGCATTGATCCCAACTTTCAGAGATTTGGGTAGGCTGTGTTACATTAAATAGACTCTGAACATTTGTAATTGCTAAAATAAATAATTAAATTGAATTGTTGGATACTCAGTTGGTTTCAGAGAAGTTAAAGAACTGATTGGTTTCGGAAGAATACGTTTGTTGTTGGAAAAGATGGCACACATTTGGTGTCAGAAAAAAACACATACCTATTCATATTGAGGCACTTCTTTTATGTATTGATTTCCACCCCAAACAACCCTCATCATCTAAAGATCACAAAAAAGTAATTTTTGATTGCTTGATATATAATATTATCATCAAAAAATTGAAAAGACAGGCCGGGCGCGGTGGCTCAAGCCTGTAATCCCAGCACTTTGGGAGGCCGAGACGGGTGGATCACGAGGTCAGGAGATCGAGACCATCCTGGCTAACACGGTGAAACCCCGTCTCTACTAAAAAAAAAATACAAAAAAAAAATAGCCGGGCGAGGTGGTGGGCGCCTGTAGTCCCAGCTACTCGGGAGGCTGAGGCAGGAGAATGGCATGAACCCGGGAGGCGGAGCTTGCAGTGAGCTGAGATCCGGCCGCTGCACTCCAGCCTGGGTGACAGAGCGAGACTCCGTCTCAAAAAAAAAAAAAAAAAAAAAAAAAATTGAAAAGACCTGAAATACCCAAATAATAGTCTTTCTGATAGGTGTTCAGCATGCCATTGGCTTATCTACAAACTTTTTTCAAAACAATTTTGGAAATAACATCTTTTTGTATCTTTACAACACTCATAACGGGTAGGCAGAGTAACTTGTCATTATCCTTGTTTTATAGATGCGGAAACGTAAGCACATAAGTGTTTAAAGATCTTTTACAAAGTCACATGGAGAATTGAGGACAGAGCTAGTACCAGAAACAGATAGGCCTGAATCTCAATTCAGCGGATAACTGTTTTCTTTAGAAAGAAGAGAGGAAAATAGTAATCAAACATGTTTGCAGTGTTAATTGTTACAGGATTTATAACTTTATTTTTTATTTACTATTATTTTTTATTTTTTTTAGATGGAGTTTCACTCTTGTTGCCCAGGCTGGAGTGTAGTGGTGCGGTCTTGGCTCCTTGCAACCTCCGCCTCCTGGGTTCAAGCGATTCTCCTGTCTCAGCCTCCCGAGCAGCTGGGATTACAGCTGCCTGCCACCACACCTGGCTAATTTTTGTATTTTTAGTAGAGATGGGGTTTCACCATGTTGGCCAGGCTGGTTTTGAACTCCTCACCTCAGGTGATCCACCCACCTCGGCCTCCCAAAGTGCGGGGATTACAGGTGTGAGCCACCGTGGCCAGCTGATTTATGACTTTATTAACCAGCAACTGTTTCTCTTCCATGGATTTTATGAACAAAATTAATTTGGAAATAAATACTAGGTATGATGTCAAATAAGGTACGTCAATGTAAAAATGTACATATTTTTCTTACAAAAGACTCATTTTAATTGTTTGCTACAT